TAGAGAATTTTTTTTTCTCCCCTCCTTTTATTTTCCCTCTATTCCTTTTAATTCAAATATACTGTTAGTCTTTTTTTTTTTTTTGATCAATTAAGTTTTTTTTTTTTTTTTTTTGGTTAACTTTTGCGCATTAATTTCTCTCTTAACAATTTTAAAGGCATATCCCACATCAATCTATTTCATTTTAAGCAAATTAATTTTTTTTGGATGATAGCTTAAAGACTTAATTTATGATTAATTTGATTTATAAGATAACACTTACTTACAATTGAATTGAATCTTCAGGGTTAAAATTTTTAATAGTTTTGTTTACCAATTTCATTAATAAGTTTCATTCTTTTAAGTAAATTACACAATAAAAATATAGTTTGAGTATTAAAATTACTAAAATATTATTAATAAAGAGTTTTATTAAACATATTTTAATAATTTTAGTGTATGGATTGTACATTAATGTGCAATCCAATTTAATTTTTTTTTATTTCTTTATTATTTGTATTAAGAAATGTCATTCCACCAAACCCCAATTTTTCTAGAACATGCTTTGACAATTAATGTACCAAGCAGTTGACCTGATCTTCTTTATATTCTTTATTTACTACAGTAGAGAAAAGAGTTGAACCCAAGTTCAACATTCGTTAATAGGCTTTCATTTTCATTCAACAAATGCTTGCTCTTTTTTGATTTTTTGTATTTTTCTTCTTTTCATACTAAACCATTAAACCAAAAACCGAATAGGGTTTCATTGCCGCATACGGACCAACTTCACCCCAACCGGACCCACTAGGGAAAGTTGCCTTGTCCTTCAAGTTCATGCCCGCTCGAACAGCGGGTCTCCAATGGGCCCACTGAATCAACCAATCAACGAACCACCGGCGAACCGGATTCAACTTGACCCGAACCAAAATTCAGTGTAAACTTGAAGCCAGCTCAGACAATGGATCCCACTGAATTCGCCAATTATGAATAATCAACAAAAATGATAAAGTTAAAAACAAAAAAACAAAAATGATATAGTTATATTTATAATGTTTTGTGGTATTATAAAGTTATAACTGTGATGTATTATCATAACATTGGTTTTTTATTTAGAATATTTTTATAATATTATATTTATTTATTTATTTTAAAAAGATGTGATAATTATAATCTTAAGTTTTAGTTTGGATTGAGATGTTGGAGGGGAAGGGAAGGAGAAGGAAGGTGATATACTTTCTTTTGTGTTTAATTATTGATTTTAATGGAGAGGGAGGAAGATGAAATTCCCTTTACTTCTCTATTTTTAATCTTTTCAAATTTGAGTGATTGAGAGGGATTAATCTTATATAATTAATTTTTTTAAAATTAAATATATAAAAATATTTTATATCAATTATTTTTTAATTAGTGAATTTTAAATATTTTATTTTATTTTTCTTTATATTATTAATTAAATAAAAATAAGGCAGTTATATAGGAATAATTTTTTATATAATTTTTACATGTCATTAAATGAGTAAATATATTTAATATTATTAGTTTCAAATTAATAAAAAAAACTAATAATTTAAATGACATATAAAGTTATTCAAAAAATATATAAAAAATTATCTCTAAATTATTTTTCAAAATAATATTACCTTTCATTCTCTTTTATTTTTATTTTTATTCTTATTTATCCAAATAAAATTAATATCAATTCCCTCATTCTCTTCACTTCTCTTTTCTTCTCTTCCTCTCTCAATTTTTTTCCTTTCATTTATTAATTTTTATCCAAATAAAGTATTATTGTAAATATATGATCGTGAAATCACCTACCACATGTCACCGACCACCGTTGCATGAAAAGGGGAGTCAACAGCACCTGCTCACCCGCCGCTCATCAAGGAACAGAATCAAGGGCGAGTGCTAACTGGCAAGAAAAGCGTACGGGACTACAACCACCAAGGACTCTACCTTTTCAATTTTTTCCCCTTTTTTTATTTGATTATATTTTTTTTTTTCTATTGTTTCTGGATTTTAATTTTAAGTCCAATCTTTGCTTACGGAGTGATTGGCGCGGGGCTGCTTTTCTTCTTTTTCCAATGTTTTAGTTTAATAAAGTGTAAAATTTCATTGTTCATCTTTATATTTTGAGGGTGTATCGATTTAGTCCACTTGTGGACTTTAGAGTTTTTTTCCTCTTTTTTTTTTTTTGGTGTGAAATAGATATGGTACGTAGTTTCATCATAAATAACAAAGTGATGTAATAGTAAAACTTAACTAAATATGTTAATAGATTAAAAAAATAGGGTTGTGAATTAGCTAAAAAAAAACCATGATTTTTCCATTCTCATTTCTGTTGTCTATTGGGCAGATATGAGATATGTTTGTCCATAAGTGAGAATGGTGATTGCATTTATTTGGTTATGTTGTTAACTATATGAGGGTTAATCTTTCAAGTAAGGCCTTTTTTGTTTTATTAACTTCTGGTATCTAGTAACCACATTA